ATCTGCATGCTTACACCCATTGCGACCCCATTTGGTTTCACAAGCGACAACAGTGAAACCAGTTTAAAGGATTAGTTCACTTTTTAAAAAAACTTTTGCTGATAATTTACTCACCCCCATTTCATCCAAGATGTCCATGTCTTTCTTTCCTCAGTCGAAAAGAAATTTAGGTTTTTGATGAAAACATTCCAGGATTTTTCTCCATATAATGGACTTCAATGGGAACCGGATGGTTCAAGGTCCAAAAGACAGTGTTAATAACAGTTTCAGATGCAGCTTCAAATGTCTTTAAACGACACCAGACGATGAATAAGGGTCTTATCATGCGAAACGATCGGTTATTTCAAAACTTATTCCAAAAATGTAACTTTTCTAAGGACAAATGCTAGCCTTGCTATATTCTCTGAGGCGCGTTTGTAACGTCACGTAATACGTTATTACGTTCAAAAGGTCACGGGCGACGTAGCCGGAAGTACAGAATCAAAATCGTCCGACATCGTTGTTTTTCCTTTTAATTCCTTTTTTTGTAAACGGTGTTTGAGCTAGTTTGCACGTTCAACCTATGCGTTCAACTTGTAAACACTCTGACTCTGTACTTTCGGCTACGTCGCCCGTGACCTTTTGAACGTAATTACGTAATACGTGACGTTACAAACGCGCCTCACAGAATAGAGCAAGGTTAGCATTTGTCCTTAGAAAAGTTACATTTTTGGAATAAGTTTTGAAATAACCGATCGTTTCGCATGATAAGACCCTTATTCATCGTCTGATATCGTTTAAAGACATTTGAAGCTGCATCTGAAACCGTTATTAACTGTCTTTTGGACTTTGAACCATCCGGTTCCCATTGAAGTCCATTATATGGAGAAAAATCCTGGAATGTTTTCATCAAAAACCTTCATTTCTTTTCGACTGAGGAAAGAAAGACATGGACATCTTGGATGACATGGGGGTGAGTAAATTATCAGCAAAAGTTTTTTCAAAAGTGAACTAATCCTTTAACACAATGGCAAAAGTTCGAGCAAAAATGAAACTGTTCTGTCTTGCTGCACAGACGAGCACTGAACACTATTATAACGAACTCAGGGAACTGTCAACTTGTGTAAAAGTTAAACATGCCGGGACATGCAAGTTGTTGAGATGAATTAATCTTACTCCACAATAACTACATAAATGTATCCACTAACCATTCAGAAGTGTCCAGAAGCGTCTAAAATTGAAACTCTTCCTGAGTCTGTCTGTAAGGCTGCACTCGCTACTGGTTATTTCTGAGATTCAAGATGAGTGAGATTGGCTGTTTTGTTATTTTATCCGAAGCACATGTAAAGGTTTGTTTGTCTTCTGAACAGAGGCAGAGCAGCAGCTCATTTGCATTTAAAGGGACACACACAAAAACAGTGTGTTTTTGAGCACACCAAAAAGGTGCAAATTTGACAAGCTATTATAGAATAGAATAGAATGAGGCGTTTCTGTAGCGCTTTCATATGTACTACTGTACACCCAAAGCACTTAACAATCATGTCGGGATCTCCTCAACCACCACCACCAGTGTGAGCTAGGGGTTTCACAACTACTGATTTTTGCTAGTCGACTAGTTTTGCATAACAGTCGACGACTAGTCGACTAGTCGTTAAATGGTTTATTCTAGGGGTGTGCGACATCACGAATAGTAAATGTCTCCACGATCTGCTTTTGAAGAAATATGGTAGTATCGTGTTTAGGGTTGGGTATCGAGAATCGAGTATCGATTGGAACCGGGACTAACTTTTAGTTTTTCCCGGAATCGTTCAAAAGTTAAAATTTCGATTCCTAGTTTCGATATTCACAGTCCGCCGAGCGGAAGAAGAAACCGCTGAACAACACCAACGAAGAAGCGTCTACCGGAAGTGTTGGCATAACCGCGTGAGTCGAACATGAGTAGCTTACATCGGCGGTCCAAAGTGTGGCTTCACTTTTCTAAAAATAACGAAATCTCGGCAAAATGCAAAATTTGTGACAAAAGGAGTATTTGTGACAGAAGGAGCATTTCCTTCAGAAAGGATTATGTTCTTCCGAAAGACCGTTGGTTAGCAAGGTTAGCTAAACTTTTTTGACCCTGCCTCTTAAAAGAATCGGAATCGAGAATCGTTAGGAACCGGAATCGAAACAAGGAATCGGAATCGGAATCAGAATCGTTCAAATTCAAACGATACCCAACCCTAATCGTGTTACAGTGCATTCTATCAGTTCTGGCGCCTCTGTCTCAACTGTACAACGCGACGTAGCCTACACATCACACGTTAAGGAATAGGTACGGGACACTGCAATTCACAAAAGTTCATTGTTTGCATAAGCCTTGCCGGTTAAACATTTAATTCACGCGCTGTTCTAACGTGCGCTTTCCTGAGCGCGCGGCACATCCCCGACGCTCACAGGCATTAGAAGCCTGTCAAACAGCGCCTGAATACTGGACTAAGTTATCTTTCAAGTCTTATTATGCTAATACTGTTAAATACACACAATGTTTACATAAACAGAATTGGCTATGTCTAAAGTGAAAGCAAACATTTGAGAGAAAATCTGGTGTTGGCTAATATGCGTCTATATTAAACACGTCGCGTGCTGGTCTAAAGCCGCCTTTCCACTGCACACGACAAACGACCGCCGTCGGACCGGAAGTCATTCATTTCCAATGGAGAGTCGTACGGGAGCTGCGGGGGGTTCCGATCATATGCGTGTGCGGAAAATTCGGATCCTATTTGAGCTTTGGATCCGTTCAAATATCTGAACTTCTGCGGCTAGACCGTATGCGACCGGCCAACCGGAAGTGATGTATTCTAATAAAAACTAGGAGTGCGAGGCTAGAATTACAAATATTTTAACTCTTTAATGTTTTTCTGTAAACACTCTTTCTGTAAAATATTGGTTATAATTAACTATAACAGAAAAAATATTTTTATTATTAAATCAATATATTATTAAGCTCTATAAAATGTACTACGTTTTTATTTGAGATGTATTGAGGGTCATTTGTTTTGTGTAGATATTTATGCATGCATTACATTCATTAAAATCGTTAATTTTACCATTGTGAATATCTGAGGGTAACGGTTGTTTCACGACCAATTTCAAAGTTCCGTGCAACTGACACCAGGGGGCGAAATACGACAATCGTATGCGAATGTCGTGTGCAGTGGAAAGGCGGCTTAAAAGCTAGAGTAGTACTCGTATTTTCCGCACTATAAAGCACACTTAAAAGCCTTTAATTTTCTCAATCCGGCCTTTTCTCAAGCCTTATAGTCCGGAGCGCATTATATATGGATCAATTGCTCACGCTCGTGTCCATGCCCGCTTTGTCACACGGCCAGTTCAACCTCGTATAAATCAGGTTATGTGTGTCTCCCGCTCACGAGTGCTCTCTCTAACACACACACGAACAGACACTGCTGTCAGCAGGCTGCGAATGTAAGTTACGTGCCCGCCCCAGCGCGCTCACGCTTACTAAATAAACGCCTCACCTCCGACGCCGCGCACTCGCTGCATTCCCTTTAGCACATCTAGTGGATGCATAATGCAAACCCAGTCAAACGTTTGAAAAATGTTCTAAAATAGGTCATTGAAGGTGCGCCTTATAGTGCTTATAGTATATAGTACTGCCGCTTGTATTTAAAGGGATAGTTAACAAAAAAAATATATCTATATGTCATCATTTTGTTTTCGACTAGTCGACTAAGGCCAGCAGCGCCAACTAGTGGTTGTGACAGTCGACTAGTTGATGAAACCCCTAGTGTGAGCATCCACTGGGATGATGCGACGGCAGCTACAACGGCGCCAGTGCGCTCACACACACACACACACGCGCTATAGGTGGAGAGGAGAGAGAGTGATAGAGCCAATTCAATGGATGGGGATTATTATGAGGCCATGATTGGCAAGAGCTAATGGGTGGAATGTGGCCAGGACACCGGGGTTACACCCCCACTCTTTACGAGAAATGCCATGGGATGACCACAGAGAGTCAAGACCTCGGTTTAACGTCTCATCCGACCACAGGGTGAGACTCACTAACACTTCTTCCAACAGCAACCTGGTTTTCCCAGGAGGTTCTGGGACACCATAGATTTATATTACATCACGTGGGAAGGACATTATATGTCACTTTTAAACCTTAGACCAAGATGAACCACACATTTTGCTCTCCTTCACATTTAGTGCTGCTTTTCTGTTGGCAGGCATCTGAAAGTTGCTTAATGTTATTATTGGATGGATGAGACAAAAGGTTAAGTCAACAAACTCATGGAGCAGAGGGGAAAGGAAACCATGGGATGTTGCAATATACAGGATTTTGATTGTGTATATGGGTGAATGGGCTCATCCTTCACATTAACCAGTGCAGGTTAGTGTAAGGACACAACTGTTAATGTGTAACAGTATCCTCTTTTAGGATAATGTCATTTTTATTTCTTTTTTTAGTCTTGGCTTACAGTTTTAGCTATTTTATTGGTGCACAAATAGATTCATTAATGTGACATTTAAAAAAAAATGCTGGTAACTTTTCAATTGCAAATTCCCTTTTTATTCTAAACAATTTTTTATGAAACAATATTTCATATTTAAATTTTTTTCCTTAAAATCATGACTTAAAAGAGCTTGAATGTAACTCGACACCCTGGCCTAATTTAGTGTAAGTGGTTCTATGAATATGCAAAAAAGTCCCGCCTCTACTCACTCACTCAGCTCAGAGATCCACTAGTTGACGATCACACGTTGCTCTGATTGGTTACAAGGTCGTTTGTGATGTCAGGAACACCAGCGGTTTCAAACTGTGTTTTTTGAGACTGTCTTTGGTTCACTGCAGTTTTAATGAGAACATACTCAGCAATGCTATCGACGAATTTACACATGGTTTGTCTTAAAACATTAAAAACACCACATAGACATATAAACAACATTAAAAGCTTAAATACTAATAGCATTTATTTGTTGTCTAAGTATATGATTTTTTTTTTTTATTTCAACAGCAAGCCTATGTGTCCTCCAGCCACCAGATGGCACTGTCCAGCCCCAACAGTAGCAGCGCAAGTAGTTTGGGAGGCGGGGAACAGCTGAGCAAAACAAACCTTTACATCCGTGGACTCCATCCTGGGACTACAGACCAAGACCTGGTCAAGCTCTGCCAACCGTAAGTCTCGCTGGTCTGTGTAGGCTATTTAAGTCTAGCTAGCTTTGTTGTGCTCGTAATTTGCCAGGAATCATGTTACTTTATTCAGAAGAATACATTTGAAAGGTAGTGGTGGAAAAACAAGAGTGTTTCAAAACCAAACGAAAAACCAATTGCTTCAATTGATTAACTCTTATTGACCAAAAGTTGGCCGTCAAAACTGTGTAAATGCAACGAATACTCAGTCCAAACATGTATACAAGCACCTTTTACCCACCAATCTACAAATAATGACATACCGTTACAACGAAATGTGTGTATAATATGTTTTTTATTAATTTGTAGGGCTTATTTTGTGTTTTATGGAGGATGTGGCTATTCAGGCTAACCAGAGACTATTTACTACAACTCTTATTTTGTTATTATACAAATGTACCATTGAAAATGTCTAGATTATGAGTGTTACATCCACCAGTGAGAGTGCCCTTGACCTCCTTTAGAGACCTTCCAACTCCAACTCCTTGCTTTTCCATCATGGACTACATTTCCCATAACCCATTGCCCGGACTCATTCATTATTTCAGATTTGTCTCGTTACCTTGTTAACTCTGCCTATTTAAGCCCTGTTTGTTCACTCATTCTTTGCGAAGTCTTGTTAGTGTCACACTGCATTTCTGAGCGCTCTCTCGTTTCCCTTGTTATGGTTTTGGTCTTGGTCCCTGGATATCCCTGTTTGCCTTGGTTTTGACCAGTGTGCGAAATACCTGTCAATATTCGGGAGGTCCCCATCTCCCGATTGTTGCGCAATACCGATCTTAATTTTCTCAATATATAGTAGGCCTATAACATTACAATATTTCATGGATGCAAGACAAGACAATCAGTCTATAGCCTACATGACAACACACTTAACTTAACAATTTTTGAAAAGCCGATAGTATTCTTAAAGCAACACTGACATAGGAGGTTGCATTAGCTAAAGTTGTTTGGGTGCACGTTGTTTTATCCACAAGTTTCCTACTCCCCATGAGGCCTTGCGTCAAAAGTGGGCGCGACTTCCGGTTGGAAGTAAACAAACGGCGATTTGACATGCTTGACACTCGTTCATTCAACAGTTGACAGTCATTCAAGTTATAGCGATCCAAACTAGCTAACGATGTGGGAACACAACCTCAACGAAATTCAAAAGGGTGAAATAACAGTACCTTTACCCTCCGCAGTAGTTGGTTGGGAGTATTATAATAACATTATTAATAATCAATACTCATCAAGGCATGGTGACAGACAGTTGTGTGAGCTGACAAACAATTAAAATAAAAAATACACACTTAGTCATTGTGCTTTGGAGTTTATTCAAAATTATAAATGAATGTGCTGCTTGAATACATTAACTGGCACATTTGGTATTCTGTCAACACAGGCTTTGATCCTGAGTTTAGGTGTAACATCAGTAGAAAACCGCCAATCACATGCTGATAGAGTTTATAGAATATTAAGAATTTAAACTAATGTACACAGGAAGATTCGTCGTCTTTTGGGAGGTGATGGAAACTAACTACAGTCGTTGGCAGGATCAGAGACGGGCTCTGGCAGGATCACTCTGATTTCGTTTTCAGCTTATGTTCAAAACAATCACGTTTAAGCCACTGGATTAGTTTAGTCCGGTTATACATACAACCGCGAACAGCACATGTTGTCCCTGAGCTCCGTAACGACATCTCTCATAAAGATTTGCGTCTTTAAATAGTAAAATAATTCTCCGAAAAACAGCTAGCCTCTTTGCTAACTAACACACAAAATACCATTGGAATGCTACTACCGCCGCGTCACCGGAAGTTTCACCCACTTTATTTTTTACAGGAGCGCCCCTCGGAAACTTGTGGATAACAAGGAGAGGCAAAGTTTTGCATTAAAATGCAGACATGACAATAATTGGCACCAATCTGGCGCACTTACAATAGCAATCAACTGAATAAATGCCTATCGGAGACTGGCATGCAATCAGTGCATTTTGCAAATGAGAGCCTCCAGTAGGCCTATGTTCAATAGTGTGACAATAGCCATGTTTCCAACGACACATTTTTATCCGAATTAAGTGATATCGAATGAAAAATGCCTTATGGAAACAGTAAAATTCGATGAAATTTGATGAAAATCGACTCAAATGAAATACGTTCGGTCTCATCGGATTTTATCTTGATCGATATACGGCTAATGCGATAAAAGCTGATGGAAACGTTATTTGCCGAATAAATAATGAATTGCGATTACGTTTTAGGCCCTTTTATCATTTCCGGCTAGTCTGTACTTTGCGCACACATGGCGGATGTCAACAAAGACAGATGTAAGTGGACAAAGCAAAAAGATGCTTCAACCAAAGGGTTTCCGTGAACCACGATCTCCCAGAACTGATGGAGCGCTGTCGTTCCCACACCACAGTTACCTCCGCTGTCGTCGGGCATAACTTACGTGCATTGGCATTATCATAGCAATGTTTATAGCGTCGTTGTTTTCTTAGGTTAGTTTTGCTTGTTATTACGTGGCTTGGTTGAATTGTAATGTAGAATGTGGTCTGTTATTTCTAGTTAACAGACTGCGGCGCTGCTAGTATAACACACCGTTGCCATGGACGCAGTTCGGAACAGACTATTTTCTTTAGCAGAAGCAATACTCGTTTTTAAATCAATAAACTCGTTTTTAAGTCAATATTTTGAGTCAAATTATTGATTTATTGATTTATTTGGTTGATTTATATGTAGGGCTGGGTATTGAGACAAATTTCACAATTCGATTAGATTTCGATTCACAAGCTTGCAATTCGTTTCGATTACGATTCGATTCGATTCAATATCGATTATTTTGGATATCAGTTACAATAAATGGCAATTTTTCTCAAGGGAATCAAATCTCTTAAATGCTGTAAACTATGGTCTATATATAGTCTAGTTGTAGCCTACTAGGCTTCATTAACCTAATATGAAGGTAATAATTAACTCTTTTTTAGCTATACAAACAATTAAATTACACTTTTATTTATTTTTATAATAAGAAGATTATATGAAATATAAACATTCAAATGGTGGCTGTCATAAAAACTTGCCAGATTTATTCAAATATGCATTAAATATTGAAGAACACTAACGAGTGTGGACTAACGAGTTTATGTGGGTTTTCTGAGGTAAATATGACGATACATGACATTGATTACAAGCTGTTTAATTGACGTCTTTCCACGGTTGAAACGCAGATTGAGCGAATCAATGTGACATGATACGGATTTATATAAGTTGTACTCGATCTTTTAACACACTTTCAGATGCTTATTCATGTTTATTTCGCGCTGTAACTGGTATTATTAACCCGGAAGAGAGATCAGCGCTGCTGCTTCTCTGGAGCTGCGCCAGAGCGATCTCACGCCACAGCGCCAAAACGGCAAAACGCTATATTTATGTTTTTGAATTTCTAAAGAAAATGGACGGAATTTGAAAATTGAGACTTTGTTTCATATCAATAGTAACAAAGGACAAAGATTAGTGCGATTTGTTGGATGCGCGCAGCCGCGATACAATGTCTCATTCATTCAAATGAAACAGGATGACTAATCGATTCTTGAGATTTAAGAATCGATATCGGTTTGTAAAAATGAGAATCGATTCATATCGAGAAATCGATATTTATTACCCAGCCCTATTTATATGTAATAAGCAGGATAATATATAGCGAGGCGGTTTTTATAGCGAACACAACCCCTTCAACAACTGCCTCGCATACATTATCCCATTCATATGTCGCTATCAGCTGGCATATAAGCATTATTAGGCTTCAACTTGTGAAATATTGATCATTTGTTGGTAGATGGCGCGATCCGTTTTGTCTAACAAAACTTTGTTCGCAAAAGTTTGCTTGAATGTTGTTCGATTCAGTGCGAAAATGAATGGAAACACCTTAAAATGTCTCAAATCAATTCGATATACCAATTTGATCGCAAAACAGCATGTGACGTCATTACGTACAGGTTTTTATTCGCTTTAAAGCCGTTGGATGGAAACACACTTTCACCAGCTTTATCCGCATGAGTTTTTTAGCCGAACTTCAGATAGTTCGATTGACAAGTGGATGGAAACATGGCTACTATCGGCGTGCATTTTGTTCGCAGATTTAGTCGCACAAACAGCGCAAGTGGCTCGTGACAGAACACAGACCGACTGAATGACACTGTAATTTAAGTAGAAAATGAAGATCGCAGAACTCATCCCCCAAACCCCCAATAATAATCAGTGGATCTAGATTGTGTGTATACATACATACATAAGCCTGATAAATTGCATTGCTGACAGAATTGTTTTTGAACTTGTTGATAATGTAACATGTTCCATACGTCATCTTAACAAGGACACTGCAAACAAAAGGGAAATAGAGCATGAATTTACATTAGAAACAAATATTCAGTGGGGACTTTGTCTTCTCACTTCAGAAGAGGTTCACACACCACTGCTTGTTTGAAGGCTCCTTTAAGCACTCTTTTCTCTTTTAGGACAACTTATATTGTGATACACATGTATTTGATATCTTTTTGTTTAATCTTGACGGGAACCCTTTAAGTTGGACGTTTCTGTAAACTTCTGCTTGTTAATGTGTTTACAGTCTAGAGATCTCAAAATCCCATGGAACTTTGAGTATGTTTTTTTGTTGAGCAAACTACAGTAGGCTTTCAGGTTTGGACTCGAGCCATTTGTGGTTCAAAAGAGGAAACATGAGGGTAAATTCAGGAGACATTAATCAAATAGGAGTGGCAGAAAGGAAATGCTTTGTTTTCTTGTGATGAAGCCAAGAGCTTTATTATAAAATGTTACGCCATGCAACTTTACAAAGACTTTCAGCTAATTCCAGTATGTTTATGTTAATTCCAGTCAGTTTGGTTCTTGAATCTGATTGGCTCAGAGCATTTTTCTAGCCATGCAATATTCTACTAATATAACATAGAAACCATTTCACAATTCGTATCACGCCGCTTGTTTCTG